AAGTGAAGAAAATAGTATTGGCCAATCGTCGAATCACCGTTAGAGAAGTTGCTGAGGACCTAAACATTTCGATTTGCTAGTGTCATTCGATTTTTACTAATGATTTGGGCATGAGACGGGTCGCCGCGAAATTCGTACCAACGCCCCTGCTCACACATCGTTGATTGTGCGCGAATTTTTTGCCAAAAACAACACACTAATAATGCCGCAGCCACCGTATTCCCCAGACCTGGCCCCCTGTGACTTTTTCTTGTTCCCGAAACTGAAGAGGCACATGAAGGGACGACGCTACGCTACGATTGAGGAGATAAAGACGGCATCGAAGGAGGAGCTGAACAAGATCACAAAAAATGATTTTTTGAAGTGCTTCGAGGATTGGGAAAAACGTTGGCACAAGTGTATAATATCTGATGGGGATTACTTTGAAGGAGACAACATAGATATTCATGAATAAATAAATAATTTTTGAAAAAACACATAATTCGCGATACTTTTTGAACAGATCTCGTATTTACACGGAAAAAATCCCAAATTGTGAGCGGCATCCTTCATAAAAGACAATAGCCGATTAGGTCCGATGAGGGGAAGGGGGGGGGAGAACAATCTCTGTTGGTATTTACTGAATTCATGGTGCCTAAACGATATGTCGGAACGTTGTTAATGAGGAGGAAACCCTGATGATCGAAGAAAATCTCGGTAACACGCGTCATATAATTGATATACTTGGTTTATGCATGGTGCATCGTATTTTACGATAAAATGGAATACACACTTTTCATTATCAGCGTAGCTAACAACTATTTGCGCGATTGAAAAACTGCCCATCAACTTTTGTGATAGTACGAGGATAGTTTGAAAAGTTTGGTAAAAAATAAATAAAACACATTTTTTTTGAAAAAAGGTTAATTTTATTTTTCAACATAATTTCCTTTGAGAGGAGTTTCCCACATACTTAGTTCAGTGATTTTCCAATTTTTTCATTTCGTCTGAAAAATAAATTTTATCAAATTTTGCATAATAGTTATTGACGGCGATGATGATATCCTGATTTATTGAAAATTTCTTTTCACCGAGACAAATATTTATTTTTGGAAACATGAAGAAGTCGCACGGAGCTAAGTCCAGGGAATAAGGTGGATGAGAAACCAATTCGAATCCTAATTCATGCAATTTTGCCATTGCGATAGTTAATGTTTAAGACAACGCACTGTCCTGGTAAAAAATATTTTTCTGTGCGCAAATCTAGGCAGTTCTTGTTTTAATTCGTTCTTTAGACGGCTCAATAATGCCGCATAATAAGTTTCCATTATTGTTTTGCCCTTTTCTACATAGTCAATAATGATGATTCTTTGAGAATTTCAAGAAAACAGTAGTCATCACTTCCCCAGCCAACAAAATGGTCTTCGCTTTCATCGGCATAATTTCATCAGTCGTTGTCCATTATTTTTACTGATATTTAGACTTTCGTGTGATAGTGTGATAAAAGTGGTAGATTCAAATTTCACCTAGAGAAGCTAATCGATACAGTCCTTCGGCTTGCGATTAATCATCGCCAAAAATTGCATTAAAATGTCCATTTCAGTACGTTTTTTGGTTGACAGTCAACAATCGTGGCACCCACCACTCAGACAGTTTTCTCATATTCAATTTTTTGTATAGGATGTTTTGCACTCGTTCAGTTGAGATAGTCTCAACAATCCCGCGCACATGCATTCGGCGGTTTTTCACTATGATACCATGGATTTTTTCCTACATGGTGACCTCAATTGTACATCCAGAATGCGATTCATTCTGAGTGCTTGTATGGCCACGTTTAAACTTATTTATCTAGAAATAAACGTTCTTCAACGCTGGTGCAGAGTCCCCATAACTTCATCTATCTCGGCTTTAATCTGCGCTGCCATTAATTTCTTCAAATAAAAATGTTTTATGACGGCATTAAATTAATTTTTCCCCAATGTTTCGATATATGCGAAAATGGTCGATTTAGATAGTTATGAAAGGTTAATTACGCGTCTTATTTGCCTGAAATTTTAAGAGAGGTAGGTCGAGGAATAATACTTGCCAGCAGTGATGTAGTTCATGAATTGCAACACCATCTCATGGAAATGTATTAAACTTTTCAAAATACAAATGGAAATATATCAAACTTTTCAAAATACTAAATATGTAAAAGTCTTTTTTCAATATTTATACGAGACAGTACTTTTATCATAACATTAAACATAAATAATATTTGCATCAAGTCGGCGAAATGCTATATTTTCCACATCCTATGGACGGATGAGGTCATCTTTACACCGAATGATAATGTAACGGCTATCTTCCGACGTCAGTCGTTGAATGCATTAGTTTCCGCGAATTTCACTCGCTGGATGCCAAGTCCGGAACAATAGCTATTGAAGCATATACTCGTATGTAACAAAACAAATAACAAAATAATATTTTCTATGCTGTACGTGGAGATAACATATTACAAGTGTTCGGTAATATTGACGCTCAGTAAAGTTCAGTTAAACGATTGGAGAAAGCGGAGCACGATCAGTAGCATGCAGTATGTGCAAGATGTCGCGACAAGTGCAGGGTGGTGCGATAGCTTGTATCAACCGCACTTTACTATCGGCACTTTACTAAGAGGCGTGTCTTATAGTGCGGGGCGTATACTGTTTGGTAATTTTGCCAACAAATGCATTGTTATGGCGCGATCAGTTAAGATTTAACGCGGATTTTAGGCTTCAACGATCGGTACAGGCATCCGACGACAATTTGGTCAAAATTTCGAGTCGACACGGATTATCGGAAAGATGGACGTTAGCGACAGTCAGTTCGTGATTAATGTACATATTCGGCGAATATTTGGTCGCTGTTCAAGTTGCAAGACGGTCATGCAGTCGGCGAGAAGAAGTTGGGGCGGATTATAAATCCATGGCAGCGATAGTTGTTCCTGGAGACGACAGTAGCGCAGAAGCGGCGATTCGCACTGTCGTCACGACAGAACGGCTAGACTCATAGCCGCTGTGGTTAGAAGCTTGTAATAGCATAGCGCAGATCATGATTGCACTAGTTCCTGTGTTTGGCCAGTGCTCGATACGGTTAGGTTCATTAGCCAAGTGCCTAGAAACGTACGACAGAGATTGAGATTACGCTGAGTCGGCTAAAAAGCTCAGTCTATTTTCCGGATTGTCGCTTGAATGACAGATAGATTTTTGGTTGCAGACAGGATCGCTTTCGCTTTCGTTATTCACTGGCTCGGATCGCTCAGTCTCAAAGAATGGCAGCTTGCGCTTATATTCCAATTCCTCGCGCTGGTGTGCTGTCGCTATGCAACGCGTTCGGTACAACATTCGCGCACGCAATTACCTCGTGGCCGGTAGCGCTCGTGATTTGACTTAGTTATTATTGGTAATAGTTAGGAGTCATTGCAAACTAAGTGGTAAATATTCTCGTGAATTAAGCCATCATTTCTCCAGCACTTTCATATTTTTTTTCTTTAAGGGGATTTTCTAGTCTTGACAGGCAAATGTAGGCGTATTTTGAAGAATTATTTTAGGAATTTTTTTATGCATAATAATAAAGTACAATTAAAAAAAGATATCGTATAAAAGTACATTCAATGAAAATTAAAAAAAATTATTTTATTTGTATTCCAATTATGTAGTCCAGTTATATAGTTTTAGTTCGATCGATAACGGCATGTTTGTATAACTATAAAAGCAGAAGCAAATTAGTCAAGTATTAGTAATACAAATTAGTTTCCGCCGTTTTCAAAAGATGGCTCCAGCGACAAGATTATTTTGAAATCGTCAGATGTAAAACATCAAATAGAAAGTTTTGACACCTGGCAACAATATAACCTTAAAATACTATTGATTTTGTATTGGCAGTATACATATTTTTCGTTCGAAAATGTCGAGTTTGGTACCGAATAAGCGTCATTTGTGGTAAGTTTCAATATATTTCTTTCATTTAAAGAAATCTGCTACTGAGGCGCATCGGTCGCTTGTAGAAGTTTACGGTGATGCTGCTTTAAGTGAGAGAAGTTGTCGTGAGTGGTTTCAAAAGTTTAAAAACGGCGAGTTTGACGTGGAAGATAAAGAACGCGAAGGAAGGCCAGTAAAGTTTGAAGACGCTGAGTTAGAGGCATTATTGGACCAAGACTCATGCCAAACTCAAGAGCAGCTCGCAGAAAATTTGGGAGTGACTCAACAAGCGATTTCAAACCGTCTCAAGACCATTGGTATGATACAAAAGCAAGGAAATTTGGTTCAGCACGAACTCAAACCCAGAGACGTCGAATGCCGTCTTTTCACGTGCGAACAACTTTTACAAAGACAAAATCGGAAGGGTTTTTTGTATCGTATCGACGGGGGATGAAAAGTGAATCCACTACGACAACCCAAAGCGTAGGAAATCGTGTGGTAAGCCCGGCCATGCACCAACTTCAACGGCCAAACCGAATATTCATTGCAAGAAGCTAATGTTGTGTATCTGGTGGGATCAGCTCGCAGTAATCTATTACGAGCTACTCCAGCCTAACGAAACTATCACTGGAGAACGTTATAAACAGCAACTGATGCAATTAAACCAAGAATTGAAGCTTAAACGTCCCCAATATGCCAAAAGACATGACAAAGTGATTTTTTAGCACGACAACGCTCGGCCACATGTTGCAAAAGTCGTCAAAAATACATTAGAAGCTTTACAATAGGATGTCTTACCCCACCCGCCGTATTCACCAGACATTGCTCCTTCGGACTACAATTTGTTCCGGTCGATGGCTCACGCCCTGGTCGAGCAGCACTTCACTTCTTACGAAGAAGCCAAAAATTGGATCGATTCATGGGTAGCTTCAAAAGATAAAGGGTTTTTTCGACGTGGCATCCGAATGCTCCCAGAAAGATGGCAAAAAGTAGTAGCTAGTGACGGACAATTTTTTGAATAAAATGTAACGTATATTTTTTTTACAATAAATTGATAATTTTTATAAAAAAACAGCGGTAACTTATTTGTATTACCAATAGTTAGTTTATTTGTGTCTATCATGTTCGAAAACATGATTTCGAAAAATACTGCAATGGATACTGAGCCTGTTTTATTTTAGTCCTTTCAAGGGAAAGTGGAGCTTTCTCACCTCACACATAATTCGGTTGGGAGATATAGACGTCCCTCTGTGGTGCAGACTAAAATATTAGGTTGGGGAAAAAGAAATCTATTATTTTTACGTGAATTTCAAGATTTTATTTAACACGTTTCGGATTGTCCAATTTGGGTCAAATATGCATACTTTCGTTTTATAATTTGCTGCCATTTTAAAGGTAGCTTTTTAATGACTCTCTCATAGAAGTTTTGGTCCCTATTGGCGAAAGACTCTAGTAATTGATTTTCACAATCTTCTTTTCATGCCAATTTCTTATCACTAAGGAAATTTTGCAATGCAAGAAAAACATGGTAATCGCTTGGTTCCGGATATGGTGGATGCATCAAAACTTCCCAACCAAGCTCTCGGAGTTTCTGGCGAATCACTATAGACATGTGTGACCTGGCGTTGTCCTGATGGAACACAACACCTCTCCTGTTGGCTAATTCTGGCCGTTTCTGGTCAATCACTAGCTTCAAACGGTCCAGGTGT